AGCCCCCCAAGGGACACGGCACAGTGCTGCCAAACCCCGTCTGGCTACTCTTCAGCCCCCATCCCACCCCAGAGGTGGCTGCATCTCAGCACCCAGCAAGGAAATCCGGTATAAACAGCCCTCACGCCTCACCCCAGAGGAGGATGGGAACGGATCTCCCCCGCAGCAGAGTGGGGGGGGGGTCTCTCCAGGGAAGGGGGAAGTCTCTTCTTCCGGGGGGCGGGGGGGGGAGAAAGGGGGGGTTTCTCCAGGGGGCGGGGGGACGGAAGGGGGGGGATCGTCTCGGGGGGGGGGGGGCTCCGTAAGGCGGGGGCTCGTCTGCACAGGGTCCCGGTGCTATTTTCAGCCCCACTTTACAGGGGGGGGCGATCTGCGCGGGCCGCGGCCGACTCACCCCCGCACGGCAGAGAACGGGTCCTCCAGGGCCATGCTGCCGCCCCGGCCCCCGCTCCGCTGGCTGCCGCCGCCGCCGCTCCCCGCCATGTGACCGGCGCTGGCCCGGCCCCGCCGAAGCTCCGGCCGCCGCCTTTGCTGAGGGCGGGGCGGGCTTGCCCGGAGGGGGAGGGGGCGGGGCGTCCCCCCATTCACAGCCCTCCATGGAGGAAAGATGCGGGGGGAGGGGCAAGGCTGAGCTGACCCCGAATTCCCGGCCCTGACCTGCTCCACACTGAGCCAGGGAGCAGAGACATGGAACCCAGGAGTCCGGAGTCTCCCATCCCCCACCACCAGATCCCGCTCCCGCGCCGAAGCTGGGACTAGAACCCAGGAGTCCTGACTCCAGCCCTCCCCATCTAGGATTAGAACCCAGGAGTCCTGGCACACACACCCCGACCCCACTCTCCTCCCAGAGCTGAGAACAGAACCCAGGCGTCCTGACTCCGACCCCCCCCCCCCCCAGCCCCTAGACTCCACTCCCAGCTCCTCCTCCTCATGGGTGTTTAAATTCCAGTCCAGCCAGTATGACCAGTCCCTGCTGTGGGGTTACTGGTTGTCCCCTCCCGGCCCCACGGGGTTTCTCATGACTCTTGGCAGCTGACTCCATGGGACCCTGGCCCCCAGGGGGCTGCTGCTGGGAGGCCTTCTGAGGGGTGACACTGAGCACTTGAGGACAGCAGGGTGGGGGGTGCATGCGGGTGGGGGGGTGAGCTGGGTGTGTGGGGAGGGGGGTTGCATCTTGTCAGATTGTGTGCAGGAGTTGTGTGGCATGCAGGCAGATTGTCTGTGTGTTTGAGCTGTGTACAGGTAGATTGTGTCCACTCAGGCTGGATCTGGTTGTAGTCAGATTGTGGGGGGAGTTGTGGGGTAGGTGTGTAGTCAGATTGTATCTGTGGGAACAGGCAGTGTGTGAGGTGTTTACAGGTAGGTTGTGTACAATCTGATTATGAGGGGATGTGTGTAGTCAGGTTGTATTTAGTTGAGTTGGGGGAGAGTTGTCTGATATGTGTAGAGGGAGGTTGTGTGTGGGGGGGTGTAGAGGCAGATTGTGAGTAGTCAGACAGTGTGGGGGAGTTGTGAGTGGGTGAGAGAAGTAGGCTGTGTACAGTCAGACTGTGCCCAGATGTGTGTAGTGAGGTTGTGTCATTTAGTTGGATTGTGGGGGGGATATTGTGGGTGGATGTGTTGTGTAGATGGG